AAAAAAAAACGCGTCAACAATAGTACCTCAAGGGTGATGTGGAAATCTATTTGAAAATTCATTGGATGTATTCGCTTTTAGTGCTCACACGTTGCGTCGTTCTATCTTACAGCGAATTCGATTGGATCTGCACTCAGTGCGCACTGACGCACATTAAAATCGTACACAAATTGAAATTATAAAAATGTATGTTTAATATAAATATAAAAACGGAATTAAACCATGAGATCTGCAATAGATGTTATTATGCCGTTATGTAAAATCTGTATTCGAATATTTGCATTTTACTTTTACACGGATTAAATCTCTGTATAACGGTTTTAATGTACACTAATATGCACTAGTATGTTCAACCGAATTCACTATTAGTTTCGTATGTAATGAGCGAAAAAAAAGATAGAATGAAGATTACAGCGTGTCGAGCGCCCCGAACGAATGCTCTTTACGTCTATGAGCGTCTTAGTACGCTCCTAAGTGTCGCGCGGCATTTGGATTGCGCGCGGGTGGTGAGGTAAGGGGGACAGCGGTAGGCGGAGTCGATTCGAAAAACGGCCGAAAGTTGCATTTCTTGCCGATGCCTGAAATATACGATGTAACCTAACACACATAACCTAACTGTAATAAAATGATTAATAACTATTTGTACTTACATCTTACATCGACATTTTCTGTAGAGGTTGTAAGATCTTTCGTTACACATATATTAAGGTTATATAAGATCACATTTAATATAAGATCACATTTTTCAATTAATTCTGCTTTTTGTGTCCGGGTGCATCCATGTATTATTTATCCTCGTTTAATTCGGTGAACAATAAGGACAATATGATACATAGATGCACTGGAGTGAAGGCAATTTGGACGTCGCGTGTCGCGTATCGCGTGTAGCGCATCGCGCTCGGTGTGCATGAGCCATAAGAGAGAGACGGTAAGTATACACGGTAAGCATACATGGTAAGTATAGCGCGGCGGCGGCGTGGCCCGCGCGCTTGATGGCGACTGTGGACCGCGGTGGGGACCGGACCGCGCCCGACGATCCGACGGACCGCACGATGGCTGCGGGGGAGAACCGCGCGTGATAGCTTACCGCGTTCGGAGGACCCCGCGCCTGGCAGCCATTGACCCCGCGGCGACAACGCGGACACCATAATTCTTTCTGCGCGAATTTCCAGCGACGTCAGCACCCTGTGACGTCATTTTCCTGCCCTTCATCCCCCTACGGCGTCATCATCCCCCTCCCCTCCCGTGACGTCATATGTCTCGCCCTTTGATATAATCACCTCCCCTCCTGTGGCGTAGACCCCCCGCGCC